GACAGAAAAACACCTGTTCACAGAAGTAATGAAAACTTCTCAAGGATGGAAAAAGAATTTGACATACAGATTAGTGAGGCGTGTAGAACTCCAATTAGCCATGATTAAAAAAATCTACCCCAAGGGATATAATAGTCAAGATTACAGAAATCCAGAATAAGAACAGAATATTAGAAGCTGTTAGAGAAAAGAAACAAATCACCTATAAAGGAAAACCCATCAGAATCAAAGCACACTTCGCAACATGAACTCTTAAGTCAAGGAGAGCTTAGACTAAGTATTTCAAGTCCTAAAAGAAAACAATCTCTGACCCAGATTGACGTACTCTGCAAAACTATCTTTTAAATTAATGGGGAAATAAGATACTTCCATGACAAAGAACACCTGAAGAAATTCATAACCACCAAGCCAGCATTCCAAAGTGTTCTGAAGGACATCCTAGAAAGAGGTAACAAGGATTACAACTCCATAAACACCAGTAGAAAGAATCTACCAGGCAAGCTGAGCAATTAAACAGAGGGGAAAGAAAAGGAGCCAATAACAGGAAACTAAAATGACAAGGATAAGTCAATATATATCAGTTATAACCATCAATGTAAATGGTCTCAATTCACCAATCAAAAGAAAGACTGGCAGAATGGATCAAGAAATGAGATCCAACAATATACTGCATACAAGAAACACATTTAGCTCAAAAAGAAATTCATAGACTGAAAGTCAAAGGATGGAAAATAATACTTTATAAGACAAGAAGCTGGAAAAAAAGCAGGGATAGGTATTCTGTTTGCAGACAAAGTGGATTTCAAGCCAAGACTGATTAAGAGAGACAAGGTCACTATGTACTTGTTCAGATAACACTCCAAAATGAAGATATAACAATCATAATTATATATGCACCAAATACCGGTGGATCCAACTATATAAAACAAATACTAATGGAGATGAAGAATCAAAAAAGCACTAACACAATTGTAATGAGTGACTTCAATATCTCACTGTCACAAATAGACAAATGAACTAGACAAAAAAATCAACAAAAAAAATATCAGAACTGAACCCAAACTGTGAACAAATGGGCTTAGGAGATGTCTACAGAGTGTTCCATGCCACAATATCAGAATACACATTCTTCTGAACTGCACATGGAACATTCTCCAAAATAGATCACATACTAGCTCACAGAACATGCTTAAGAAAATGCAGAAGAACTGAAATTATTCCATGCATATTATTAGAATATAGTGTAATGAAATTGGAAATCAATGACAAAAGAAACTACAAAAACTACATAAACACATGGAAATTAAATAACCCTCCTGAACAACCAATGGGTCACAGATGAAATTAGAAAGTTTCTACAATTAAATGAAAATGCCAGTACAATGCACCAGAATTTATGGGATGCAATAAAAGCAGTCCTACAAGGGAGGAAAATTTATAGCAGTGAATTTTCATATCAGAAAAACAGAGCAAGCCCAAATAAACAACCTAATATTGAACCTGAAGCTTCTAGGGAAAAAAAAGTCACTGCTAAAGCTCATACAAGAGAGGAAATTATAAAGATTAAGACCATAAGGGCTGGGCATTTAGCTCAGTGGTTCCACTGCCTTCCTTGCATTAGCAAGGTCCTGAGTTCAAACCCCAGTACCAAAAAAAAAAAAAAAAAAGCAACTGAGACTAAGAAAACAATATAAAGAAACAATGAATTGAAGAGTTGGTTCTTTGAAAGATTAAATAAAATTGATGAACCCTTAGCCAAACTTATGAAAAAAAGGAAAGAAAAGACTCAAGTCCGTACAATTAAGAATGAAAAGGGTGAAATCACAACAGATCCTGAAAAAATCCAGATGATCATCAATATGTACTTCAAGAAACTGTATTCAAATAAGATGGAAAACAGAAGAAATGGACAGATTCCTAGACACATATGAATTATGAATCATATTAAATATGAATTAGATACATATGAATTATGAAAGCTAAATCAAGAAGATATAAAAATTCTAAATAAGTCAATATCATTCAATGAAATTGAAAATGTAATTAAAAACCCACAAACAAAGAAAAGCCCACATCCTGATGGATTCACTGCTGAATTCTATAAGAAATTTAAAGAGGATCTAATGCCACTACTTCTCAAAATCTTTAATGAAACTGAAAGAGAAGCAATACTCCTAAACTCATTGCTGTAAGCAAGCATTATCCTGATACCAAAACCAGAGAAGGATCCAAAAGAGAGAACTACAGGGCAATCTCCATAATGAACATAGATGCAAAAATCCTCAATAAGACACTGGGGAAAAAAAATGAAGCAAATCATCAAAAAGATTATACTTCACAACCAAGGAAGAGTTATCTCAGGGTTGCAGGGATGGTTCAACATAACAAATCAATAAATGCAATATACCATATCAACAGAACCAAGGACAAAAGCCACATGATCATCTCAATAGATGCAGAAAAAGCATTTGACAAAGTCCAACACCCATTCATGATAAAGACTCTACAGAAAATTGGAATAGATGGTTTTTATCTCAATATAATAAACTATCAGTCAATGATAAACCAATAGCCAATACCATACTGAATGGACAAATACTGAAAGCTTTCACTCTAAAATCAGGAACAAGACAAGAATGTTCACTATCACCACTCTTGTTCAATATAGTTCTGGAAACATCAGTCAGAGCAATTAAACAAGAGAAAGAAATAAACGAATGAGGATAGGAAGGGAAGAAGTTAAATTATCATTATTTGTGGATGACATGATACTCTACATAGAAGACCCCAAAAACTCCCCCAAAAGACTTCTAGATTTAATAACCATTCAGCTGTGTAGTTGGATACAAAGTCAACACTCAAAAATCAATAACATTCCTGTACACAACAAACTCCCTGAGAGAGAAATTATGGAAACCACACCTTTTACAATAGGATAAAAAAATGAAATACTTAGGAATCCATCTAATGGAGGAAGTAAAAGACCTTTACACTGAAAACTACAGTACTCTGAAAAAAGAGATTGAAGAGGATATTAGAAAATAGGAAGATATCTGTCCTTCTTGAGTAGGAAGAATCAATATAGTGAAAATGCTATACTTCCAAATTTGTGATACAGATTTAACATAATTCCAATCAAAATACCAACAGTATACCTCATAGAGTTAGAGAAAACTATCCCAAAATTCATTTGGAACCAGAGGAGACCTAGAATAGCAAAAGCAATTCTGTGCAACAAAGGCAAGGCAGGAGGCATCACAATCCCTGACTTGAAATTATACTACAAAGCTACAGTAATAAAAACAGCATGGTACTGGGAAAAACAAAACAAAACAAAATGAAACAAAACAAAACCACAGACCTGAGGATCAGTGGAACAGATTAGAAGATACAGAAAAAACTCTGAACGTACTCAACCATCTTATCTTTGACAAAGAGATGGAACACCTTAACTGGAAGAAAGATAGCATTGTTAATAAATGGTACTGGAAAAACTGGCTTTTAACATGCCAAAGATTAAGCATAGACCCATATTTCTCACCATGCCTTAACCTAAAATCAAAGTGAATCAAGGACCTAAATATTAAAACAGAATGCTAACTCTATTGAAAGGTAGAATAGGTAGAACTCTTAAAGATATAGGTGTAAACAAAGACTTTATGAACCAAACCCCAATTACACATGAAAGAATCAACAAATGAGATCTCATCTTGTTAAACATCTTTTGCACAGCAAAATAAAAAAGAGACAACCCACAGAGTGGGAAAAATTTTTGCCAGCTGTTCCTCAGACAAAGGGCTAACATCTAGAATATATAAAGAACTCAAAAAAGATCAGCCTCCCCAAATTTAAAGACCCAGTCCAAAAATTGGCATCTGAAATGAATACACAGTTTTCAGATGATGAAGTAGAAATGGCAAATAAATATATGTTCAACATCACTTGTCATTTGAGAGATGCAAATTAAAAACAACATTGAGATTTCATCTCATTCCAGAAAGAATGTCTATGATCAAGAAATCAACCAATAACAAATGATAGAGGGGTTATGGGAAAAAAAGGAACCCTTCACTACTGTTGGTGGGAGTGTAGACTGGTGCAATCACTGTGGAAATTAGTGTTGAGATTTCTTGAAAAACTAAAACTAGAGGTTCCATTTGACTCACTTATTCCCCTTCTTGGTATCGTCCTGAAAGAATTAAAAGCATCAAATCACAGTGAGATATGTACACTCATGTTTTCAGCAGCACAATCTGTAATAGCTAAAACTTGGAATTAGCCCAAATGCCCGGATGAATGAATAAAGAAAATGTGGTATTTTTACACAATGGAGTACTACTCTGCTGTAAAGAAGGATAAACTCATGATATTTATAGGTAAATGGATGCACCTTGAAGCCATACTCTTAAGTGAAATAAATCGGACACAAATGTTTGATTATCACATTGTTTCTCTGATGTGAGAAACTGAAAGGGTATATAAGAACCAATATGTATAACAGATATTGGAAAATTGGAAGAAAATGTTCCAATGGGAAGGGGAACTAGGGAGAAGAGAGAGGTAAAGGAAAGAAGAGAAAAGGGAAAAAGGAATAGAAGAAAAATTCAAACAAAGCTTTTGTAAATAAGAGCAGAAGAGGGGTTTAAGGGAGAAGAGGGGATGGGAGGAAGAAGAATCAAGATGTATTACATACAGATACAAATTCCCTATGATGAATGTGATCACCACATACATCTAAAATGGACCAATAAAAAAAAGAAAAAGAAAAGAAAAGTGGAGAGAAGAAAGAGGAGGTGACCAAGTAGAGCCCTCAATACTGGTATTCCTTCTTTAACTCAATGTTTTAAAATAGTTTATGCACTTTACATTGTTACAAATATTGTATGCATTTTTAGGGTAAAATAGCACCACCCTCTGTCTTTAACGTTAATGTTGAGTCACAGGGGTGAGTGGTTTCTGTTTCTCTCCTTGCCCCTTATTTTTATTCATTCAGGCTTTACCTTTGTCGATGAAAGTACTGATCCCATGTGGATTAAATAGTTCTTTGTCAAATCTATCACTGATTTTTAGTGCTTGTGCCTTTGAGCTTTGCTCATTCAAATTCATCAAGAAGATTTTTCCTGGCTCATCTGGTGCAAAGTTTGGCAGGCCTGGATATTTTAATCCCTTTCAAAAAATAGAGAATAAGTATGTAACACATAATCATATTAAAATAACATTTTCATAAGGAAGCTAAATGTCAAAGCCACACAAAATGCTCTAAGTTCTACATTTCATTTAGATTCCTTGGGATTTTTCACTTTGTCACAAGTTATGGTCACTATTTGCTCTGGCTGGTTACCAAGGTTATCTAAGCATGGGCTGTGAATATGGGAAGAACCATGTTCAAGATAAGGAAGCACTTGTAATTTAAAAAGAGTTAAGCCAAAAATTATGAGACAGACCAGGCAGTGTGACTTTGTGTGTGTCCTTTGGCCTGGCTGAGCCTTAGATTCCTTGTCCATAAAATAAGAAAGTTGAGATATATAATTGCTAAGATTCTTTCCAATCCTGATATTCTATAACTTGCTTTCCTCAAAGCATAGAAAAGAGGTATATTGTATAATTTTATTGCTCCCATCTCTACATTGAGATTATTTCACATATCAACAAATAGTAGAATCAGCCAAGAATCAACATGAGGTTGTCAGACTTCTACAGGTATTTCTACAGGTATTTCTGACCTATTTTGTTCCTTCAGGTATGCCTGAAAATTCTGACATGAATCCTTTTTGCCAAATATTACAAAAGTTCATTCCAGAAGCATGGACTATGGACCTTTCTACTGGTAAGGTTGAATTTTTGTCAACCAACAACTGGTATCTCGAATGTACTGGCTTTTGCCACACTGGAGTTCACCGCAACCAAACTTGGGGAAGGTCTATTCTATACCAAGAACAAAATAGTTGATTTCCTCTTCATGTTCTTTCCCCATAACTCTCCTATATGTCAGTGTTAACCACCTTATATCCTAGCCCATTTGCAGTTAATTTAAATTCTCTTCATCGGACTCTACCTTCTTGCTCTGTCCCTCTCTCTTCCTGCTGTTTCTTACATGCACATTCACATGCACATTGGGGATGTGGGGCCATAAAGGAGGACTTCACCCAGAAAAGAGTGCTGGGGAAGACTTCCCTGAGGAAGTAGTGTGCTGCACAGTGAGGCCTCACAAAGAAACAAGAGCTAGTTGTCAAAGCGTGAAGAAGGGAGTGATTTTTCAGACAAAGAGGAGCAAGCCAACATCCATGGCAGGGAAGAAAATATCCTGCTGGGCACCTCTAAATAGACTAGAAATACTTACAACATAAAAGTACTCTCTAAATCTCCAGCTTTTAAACTCTTTGTAGGGTGGGAAGGAAGGCTGATAAGGGAGACTAAGGATAACAAGGTCTTAAATGTACTACAGTGCACAAAGGTTAAAAATAAGTGAAAAACATAACCCTTAACCTCTGAATTGTTAGTTTACAAAACAAGGCTCATTGTCTAGACCTTCATGTTGAGAGTTGTCATGCAATATTTGTGATGAAAATATCATTGTTCTGCATAGCAATAATTATGAAGTTTTACTTCTACCAAAACAGGAAAAAACCATGCTGCAGTAATGGAAATATTATTTCCTAACAGAAATTATATCTCATATTTTTGAGGGTCTAGCAAATATTTTTGAAGGTCCATCTGGCATAATAGTGAAAATCTATCTTGACAACAGAAAATATTGGTTAACAAAGAACAGGCTTTTCCAGACAGTTTTGCTTTACCTTTGATTTTGGAGGAAAAGTAAAGAAATAAAGTCTACACATATACATACTTAAGATCTTGGAAATTCAGGGTACGTTATTATAAGTGCCTCACTTTTGGCCAAAGATGCTTAGATTTAAAATTCATGTTCTTTTGTCTTATTTTTAATGGCTGAAATAGAATATTATACATGCAATTTTAGCAATGAAAATTCATTCACATTGAAAATATGGTAAACCTACTTTTTAAAAATCTTAGACCCTATTCCAGTGTGCAACTGATTTAACAAAGGCATGATAATTTTCAACATTGTCCCAATACATACGTTTTTGTTATTGATTTTTAGTCCCTGGCATAGCTCCCTTATCATCCCAAACTTGGTAAAGTGGCAATGGAAACAAGATGCAGGCTCTTTTCTGCTTCTTGAAAAGTGTGGGAGAAATAGTACAGAGCCCAAGATGGAAGCATTCAGTGTTTTGAATGGAGCAGTATGGTTCACATTCGATCCAGTAACACTTACAGAGCTCCAACACAGGCAGGCATGGTAAGAAGGATACTAGACAGTGAGAAGATGACTACTAGGTGTTGAGACCCAGTCCAATAGGGCATGGATGGAGATGGACAGCAATAGGACAGGTCTAGAGACAGTCTGGGAATCAAATGGAAATCAATATATACTGACGGAGACTCTCGTGTGTGAAGCTGACCACAGGGAGCTGCCCACCATGGGGGCAGTCAAAGATGGGCATTCCTGTGGGGTTTTAATTAGCTTTCCAGATTCCTATGTGGGCTTTCTTAGTTAACTGGTGTACCTGGAGGTGGGATGAGAGTGTAGAGATCTATCTGGCAGCTCTAACTGACAACACTAATGCACTGTCTGGATAGCTGTTGATGTGAATAGCAGAGTGGCACGGAAAATACTCACACTAGAGATAAAAGCCAGTCCAGTAGGGAGTATATCAATATCTTCAGAGCCATTTTCTGCAAAACCAAAACAAAAATATCAGAACTATGCATATGTGAAAGCTTGAAATCATAACTTTCATGGCTCAAACTTTTGAAACTGCATTGAGTTTTTCAACCATTGACTTGGAAAACTATGAACTTTCAAGACTCCCACGGGCAGACTATTTTATAGGAACACCTAAGTCAGACTCTTGAAATACTAAATTATTTTCTTAGAACTTCATGGGGCAGGGGGAGAAGTAGAAAAGAAATTCACACCCTAGATGTATTCTTTAGCAATTTCCAGAGCATGTCCTGAGAGATTCAGCCTTATCCTCTATAGAGGGCTGGTCTAGACTGAGTGAAAAAATTTGGAAAGTCAGAGTTGCAAAGGCTTCTTTTAGGCCTCTGTACCAAAGTGACCTGGACATTTTCCCCTTAAATGTATTCCATTTTCTGTATTTCAACATCAATGAATGGCATTTCCATCCTCAAGTATTCAAAGCACTCAAAAGTACCCAAAGATAACTTGGAGCTATTTTTGGAGCTTCTTTTTTCCTTGATCCCCATATCCATTGATAATTTGTCACTTGAGCTCCAAAACTTCCCCTTGGGTTACAACAACTTCCCAATACTTCACGTTGACTCCCCTACACCCTGTCTCTGTGGTGCTGACAGTCATCTTTCTGAAATGTAAAGTTGACCTTTTCAGGCCCACTGAAGCTGGCAGTATAAATTCCAAGCCTCTTGCTCTAGATCTGAACCCTCCATATCTCAGCTCCCAGCCCCAGCTCCCAAGGCTGGTGCCATCCACTCTACATTCCAACTGTGCCACAGTGCTTGTGTGTGCAGCCTGTGACATCTGCTTGCCCAGGCACATGTTGCCCCTCCTTGGCACATGCAGCCCTTTCCCACACCACCCCCACCTCCAAACGGACAAGATCACAGGCTCTGAGAAATGAAGTTGGAGACCATTCCCTCAGCCTTTCCCATCTCTCCTGGTTTCAGCATCCATTTTATATACTAATGGGATCTGTAATCTGCGACTACCTCCACTGAGACATTTTTCACACTGGGACAGCTAACCTGTGTTCTTTGGTTAATTTCATAGTAGACAGAAAGTCCTGGGGACAAAGACTGGGTTTTTTGCATTCAACATAACACCTGCCTTTTCATTGTAGATGTGCTCAATAGGCTCAGTAAATAAAATACACACTTTAAGTTTTTGAACTTTGCCTTGCTTTCAAGTGATCTATGACAAGTGAGTGTTAATTTCTGAGTACATGCAGTCCCCAAATTAGCAGAGTTCAACTTATGATTTTTCTGCTTTGCTGTGGTGCAAGAGCAATGGGCGTTCTGCAGAAATCTTACTTTGGATTTTGAATTCTGACTTCTTCCCAGGCTAGTGATCTACTGCATGATACCTTCTCTCAGTGCTGGGCCATGGCAGAGAGCTGTAGCTCCACTCCGCTCCTTAATCATGAGGGAAAACACTCAATATTCTATAGTGCACTGTGTTGGTAAGTCAGGATGTTCGGCAGGCTGGGTGTATGAAGTGCATTTTTCACTTATAATATTTTCAGTTTACAATGAGTCGATTAGGCTGTCACTCCCATTGTAAGTCAAGGACCATCTCCACAAGATACTCTGAGTTGTGTGTGTTCTAGTTTGGCTTCTTCTGTCTTCCAAACACCACTCTTCGTGTCACCTATAGCAGCATCAACCCATCTCAATGGCTCGATTTTCAGAGGCTCTGCAGTTTTATTTACTTGCACCATGCTTCTCGGTCAGAAGTAGGAAAGAACTACTAACTGACTGCACAACATTTCCCTCCTCTTCACCCCTATCCACACTGTACTTTCATGGTGAGCCCAGTGCACCTCATCAACAGGGACACCCATGGGAGTAAGAGCCCCAGGATGCCCTCCTCTGTGATCGCCCCCACATACTCATGAGACTGCACACAACTATCATTAAAGCCTCATTGCTTAGTCTAAAAATCTGTACTGTGAATAAATAACTACTGCTTTGTAACCTCTCAACCCTACCGCAACTTGGCACAACTTTGTTTCCTTAATCAGTCCTTCATTTTCTCAATCATTCCCTATAGGCACCCTGAGAAAGGACCACATGAGGCTTTTACTATCAATTAATTCTGTTATTATTTCAAATCTTAGAGAGAAGGTACTGAGTCAGCTCAGAAAACAAACAGAATCCACTGCTGAATAACAGCATATGTTGGAAACCAGAGGAGCAACAGAAGCAGAGAAAAAACAGAAGGGAAGGAGATACCAAAACCAAAGACTACCTACTTGATTATCCTGCCCATAGAAAGTTGTAACAAACTTATTTGTATTCACAACAGACTTATTTGTAAACTTTGATTAGATGCCAAGGACAGCCAAATAACTTCCTGGTCAAAGTACTCCCTGATCCTCATAGCCTTGGGAAAAAGGTAAACAACAGGGAAGAAGGTTTGAGGTATGATTCCTTGAGGGAGAAATATTTCACCTTTCAGTATTTCCTGCAAGAAAGAATTTGGGCAAGAAAAACACAATAAAAGGGAGAATTTTCTTCCATCAATAAAATTAACCTCAAAATACAGGTCTTGAAGAAAATACAAATTGAAATTTCTCTCCATCTCTGTTACTGCCTATTATTCTCTACCTAAAGACCTTAGTGGTGCTCCACTGCTTCACAAAGACTTCTATCAATGTCTTATAAGCTATGTTTGTTTAAATATCTAGTCTGTCTTGTTTTTGCCAGCCTTTATTTAGCAATATTCTAGCTGCTTACCTCTTGTGTTCTTATAATACTTATCTGGAGTATGTGTAATAAAAATGTATTGTCAGTAGCTAAGACACGTGGAGTTACATAACAAGGAGTACAAATTGATTTAGAAGAAAATCAATGCGTTGTCTAATCTAGGTCTGCCACCCTCTAGCTCTGGACCATTGGGCAAATAACTCATTTTTTCTGTCACCAGTTGCCTAACCTGCAGAGCACAGACATCATCACCTAATTTACCACTGGTTGTGAGAATAATGTAGGTGTTTGGAAGGGACTCAGTACCACACCCTTGACAAGGAGGTGTTTTCCCTTCAGACTTATGTTAATATTGTCATACTAACAAATGACTAAGGATCACTTTAACTTATTTGGTTCTTCAGACAAAAAATGTAATTACAACAACAGACAAAAGAAAAAAATACGGTAGTTTTTCCTTCTGCTCCTAGCCAGCTTCCAATTATTTGCTATTCTCCTTAAAATGTTTGCATAATCAACACTGATTTACATTATTAACTTTAGTTTTAGCTTTTCAAATTTAGTTGAGTTGTACAACTCAACTTTAGCAATCATGTAGTCTGATTGTCCCTGAAGAAGATGGGAGATACATGTGCAAAAGGTATGACTATTACTCCTCAAGAGTAAACAAGTCAGTAAATGTCACATAACTTATGTTTTCCCCAGTCAAATTCAATCGGGCTCTGACCTCCCTGCCCTATTCCATACGCTGATAGGAAACTCAATGTGAGTCATTACTGGGCTCTCTGTTAGGGCTGTAACATAGTACTGGGTGACAGGTCTTTAAATCAAGCAGAATGTTTAATTACTCACTGTCAGGACTATGTGGCCCCTTTCATTTTGACAATCCCACCACCTCTGTGTAGAGAAAGAAAGAAAAGAATTAAGACAAGAAACAGAGGACAGGGAAGAGATGAGATATCACAGTAGAGGAAGGAGGAGAATTCAGGCCAAGGAATGGTCAATGACATTCTTCAATTCTGGAGACACATGTAGGGAAACTGTGAAAAAGCCACAGATATTGACTTTTGGGAGACCCCTGGAGACCTTGTATGGGATAGCTCTGGTGCAGTGGATAGGGCAGAAGCCACCCAGGAGGGTCACAAAAGTAACAAGACATGAAATCATTCAGCATCTCATTTAGGCAGATGGCAACAAGAAATTATTATACTGGCCTCTGTTGGTACTGGCACATACATACCAAGTTTCTCAATAAGGTGGCAATTCTGGGGTTCCACCGGCTCCACTTCTCGAGATGTAATAAATCTTTCTCTATAGAAATAAAGAAACCCTCAGGGCTCAAGGCATCAAATCCATTACCAATGTCTATACAGAGCCTTTAGTCACCTCCATATTGGTCAACTCTATCCTCACTGTGAACATTGTGTGCGTAATGTGCTTATATAAACTAACTTCACTTTTATTGCTGAAAGGCTAAAACAGGATTATACATGAAAAATATTTTCCTCTCTGAATGAAAGACCCTTTCAACAGTATGAATAACTAAACAATATTATGAATTTAAATGCCCCAAATAGTATTAGTTAACTTTCTAAAGCAATGTCTACTTTAAATTTCAATTTCTTCCATTCAAAGGCCTCTTGCCTTTTGACTTTCCCCCACAAAAAATGCCTTCCCAAATTTCAATGGGGTCTCCGAAAAGCTAAATCCTGCAGCTTTTGCTTTATTATTTTTATATGCTGATTTACTCTGCAAACATAAATTCATTAAACTCAACACCATTTAATCAATTGGCAAAATTTATCTTTCAGTGCACTCTTCTTATTTCCACTGTGAAACATTCTTATAAATATTATGTATAATTTAAAATTTTTATGAAACTACATTCAAGAAGTGTCTACACTTGGACTTTTCTTTCAGTCTCTTGTAAAAATACACATTAGGGCTGTGGGTGCAGCTTAATGGTAGAATGGTTCCCTAGCTGTACCTATGTCCAAATCTGCCCCCCCGCAACCTTAACTCTAATTATTATTATTTTGGGATCTTGTCACTTGGTTGCATTGGGGCGGGGGTCAAATGCCAATAAACAAGCTCAAGCTGAACTAGAAAGCATTGCCAACATACATCAGTTATCTCGATAGTTTCTAGAGCTGAGTCTGAGGAAAGCAGCTTCTACATGGAGCAAGGAATGAAAACAGCTCAGAGAGGTGGAAGGCAACCAGAGGGTTTAAACTAGCTCAGGAGTGTCTGTCCCCTCTTTGAGGTCCTTCTTTCTAGCCCAGTGCTGACTTTTCCTGGGACGTGGCTGGATTCCTGTCACCGCAGAATCTTTCACCCGCACAGGTCACATCCCTCCAAAATGCATTGCCACCTGCAGGCTGCAGCTTCTTTCCTTGCCCTCTGAATCCGGGACGGGTCTGAGACCCAGCATTTGGCACTGCCTGGCCAGGCTTCCCCAGTGTCTGGTCACCACAAGCATCCAGGGCAGCCTGGTCCCCTCCTGCAGGCCCAGCATCTCCAAAGCTCCTGTTGTTTCCACAAGCAGAACGTTAAAGGCTAGGGGGAGAGAGGGTCAGACTTGACCTTCCGAAAACATGTGGCCGTCTCTGCCCTCCTGCTCCAGGAAGGCAACCAGAGACCCAACTGTCGATGCAGTCTGTGGGTGGTCTGCTGCACCTTCTCACTATCTAGGATGGTGGCAGCCAGCTGTCCTTGATCAAACCTGAACCACAAGAGAGCCCAGAACGCACTCACCTAATCGCCACAAACGTCTGCCCCAAAAAGGCCAGACTGGCCCCCAGAAGGATCAACGCTCCTAGCTTTGCCATGATCTGGTGCTCGCAGGGGCAACAGCAGAGCCTCTTCCGGCACTTCAAGGGCTGCCACGGCCCCGCCCCGGCCCCATCCCCGCCCGCCCCACCCTGCGTCCCAGGGCAGCGGTGCTGCTTGCCGAGCGGGTAAGGTCATGTGCAAAATCCCAGAGGCGCGGGGCTGCAGGAAACTTTGACTCAGGGGTTCTAAGCCACCTTTCCGAACTCAGAGTTCAAAGGCACCTTCCAGCGAGGCACCTGCCCTCTCCTCCCCTCCCCGCCCCTCTCTGTTTCACTGCCTCCCTGCTTTCCTCACCTCTCCTTCATTCCTTCCTCTTTCTTTCATTCCTTCCTTCCTCCCACCAGTTCTCCCAAATGTTCACATACAGCACGGGTTTGGCAAGAATACACTACTTGGTCCACCGACGAACAACGTTTGCTTCTAAAAGCCCTGAAATTCGGCCTCAGCTCCCCAAATGGACTGCGGGCGACTAAAGGCCAGGGAAGGACAGAACAGGAAGCCAGATTTCAGAGCCTGAAACTTCGGCTCCTGGCAGGCAATCTTTACTTCCATCTTCTTCAAGATTTGAGACTCAGAACCCTCCCCACCGCCTGCCTTCAGAGTGCTAAAATGTGGTATCAGCCCTCAGAGAAAACTCAGGAGAAAGGAAAGAAAAGAGAACCGAGAAGATGAGCCCAGTGGGGGAAAGTGCATGAGGAAATATCTGGAATAGAGTTGAGACTTCACAGTTCATTAAACAGAGGGTGTGTTAATTTTCATCTCTTCTTAGTAAACATTTGTGACTAACATTTTGGCCTTGAACTTTGTGTTTATTGGGTCATATCATCTGGCTGTGAGATTATGGGGTAAAGGCCTATAATCTCACCCATATCTAATTTTTGAGCTGACTCTCAGCACAAAGATCCTGACTGCAGGCCAACATTGGCTCTGTTAAGAGGCCAGAGTCGATCAGTATCCTGAAAGGGGTTTGTTGTCATTGAAAGAGCAGACAAATAAAGGGAAAAACCCTAAATTCAAGTTCCAATTCCATTTTTAACTGGCATCTTAATCTTTAGAAATTACCTATCACCTTGGGCTTTTGTTTTCTTATATGGATAGCGGGGCTTTTCAAAGGGCTAATATGGACCACATAAAAGAGTACATGTCTGAACAATAAGTAGCACAATATTTAAGTCTAGTCAGTCCAACACCATTATCAAAATACCATTCAGGGGGATGCAGAATGTACAACTGATGTAATCCTATTCTATAAAAAGGGGGAGTTACGTATTACACACAGGCTTAAAAACAATGTAGGCAAAAACTGAAGAGTAGTGACTTCAGGAGCAGAAGCTTGAGGTCACAGAGAGGAGAGAGCTCAGTGAATGCGGAGGAAGCCCTTGATTTTATTGTACGATTTTCTGTGATGTTTAAAAAATTTAAGTCATTTATCTTGACCCTGTTTATAACTGTAAAATGCTTTCTTAAAAAAGATTGTTCATATCAGTGATTCTTGCCTAGAAAAAAAAGTGGCAATGGAGGAAGAGTAATAAGAGGTCAAAAGAGAAGGTATCTCTTCAAAAGCTGTTCTTTAAAAGGAGGATACAGGTTTCACATCATTAGGAAACATTGTCCTACCCCCATTGTGACCAATGTGTAAAACTGGGCTATGGACAACAACTTGTTCTTGGTATATATTTTGTGCTATAATCTGAAGCACTACTTCCTTATGCTTTCAGCCTCTATGAAGAAACAGAGGACTTGGATGCAGGTCAGTGGTATAGCGCTTGCCAAGCATGTAAAGCCTTGAATTTGGTCCCCAGCATTGCCAAAACCCAAACCAAAACAAACAAACAAAAAACATGAAAAACAAAAACTGAAACAAAAAAATAACAAAACCAAACTTACACGGTTGATTTAGTTATCAATGGAAAAATAAGTCAATTCTTTACCAGATATCTGTGAGAAAAAGGTCAACATCCTTATAGGAAAAAAAAGATACAAAGGTTCATCAAAAAATAAATAGAAATCCACTTACATATATAAAATTGTCTTTAATGTCACTTATAATAAAAGAATGAATATTAAAACACTAGAAGAAAAATTTTGAAAAACAACAGAAAGCTAAGAGTGCTATTAGGATTCTCCCAACCTCCTTCATTCCCAGTAAGAGATCTTATCTTGGAAAGCCAGGTGAGTAATGAAGAGTAACAAGCCAACAAGGCAAATGCAGGTGGGATGGTGGTGGGTTTGGTAACTTCTCCATTCACTGGCCTATGCAGGCTTGACTCCCAGGTAGTATTCAAATGGAGTAAATCCAAATCTAGAGAAAAGATCATCCTTAGTTGCCATAAATGATTAATTTAAGCACAAGATGAAAAAAATATGGTCTAACATATTCAATTGCAGTTGTTTCCTGTTTTTAAATATTTCTGCTCACATTTAACTGTTACAAAAGAGCTGAGGCACTGTTAAAAAAAAAAAAAGGATATGTATCTCAAATGAATTTTAAAAAGAATCATGGGCCAGGGATTTAGCTCAGCAGCACCATGCCTGCCTTGCAAGCACAAGGTCCTGAGTTCAATCCTTGGTCCCCCCCCAAAAAAAAGAATCATATCACAGTGATGTATGTGCACCCATGTTTATAGCGGTACAGTTTGTGATAGCTAAAACTTGGAAACAGCCCAATTGCCCATCAACTGAGACTGGATAAAGAAAATGTGTTTTTTAAAATAAAATGGAGTACTACTCAGCCATAAAGAAAGAGAAATTAGACATTTATAGCTAAATGGATGCACATTGAGGTGATACTCTTAAATGAAATAAATAGGACATACATGTGTAAATACTGAATAGTTTCTTTGGTGTGAGAAACTGAAAATGTAAATAAGGATCAAAAGATATAATAGATAATGTGAAATAGGAAGAAAAGGGGCAAAGGGGAAGGGGAAGTGGGAGCAGTAGGGGTAAGGATAGAAGGGAATGGAATTAATATGAAAAAAAGAAACAATGGAAACAAAGTCTTTGTAAATAGGGAGGGGTGGAGGGATGGAAGGGAGGGCAGGGGAAGGGGGGAAAATAAGAACCAAGAGAGATTGTGTAAAGGTGCAAATTTCTAATGATGGATGTCATTATATTGTATACCTAAAATGTACCAATAAAATTAAAAAAAATAAAACACACATACAAAGACCTATCCCTACCTAGTGGTGTCACACATTAATTGCAGTTTCAGTTGTTTCCAATGACAACCTCTTGATGACCAAACTGTTTAACTCAATAAATGATCACCAAAAAGACAGCCATAAATAAATACACAATATTGTTTAGTGAAATAGAATAAACCATAGAGGCCAAGCATTTATTTAAACTTTTTGTTTCTAAGATAACACATGTGCTTATTGATATCTACTTTTGCACAAATAACATTTCTAATAAATAAAATATAAAGCAACTTTATTTTATGCCTGCTGCATTCTGATACTATTATTAAAATGCAACCTTTTAGACAGTGATTATCTCCTATAACCCCAAAACATATGCTTCTTAGTTTTGAATTTCTAGGTGAACAATGTTTAATCTTATTTTATTAACATTTCCCCCCATGGATAATGGAAACAGCAGGAGTCATTATTTTAATATGAAATACATCCAAATATTTATTAGCAGATTTTTGAAAATATAAATAAAAACAGGCCAAATAGAGGCCAAGTCTAAGAATACTTTTGAAATTTATATTTAAAAGCCATTAAATGACTCATCTAAAAGCAGAAGTCAAACTGATAGAAGGACATGGAAGAGAAGAAACTAGATACATTAAGAAAAAGATTAAACACAAAATATTCCTTAGTTCTATAGAAGTAGCTTCATGAAGTTGTTAATGGTATAGGCTCCGGCATCAGAAATAGATTGATATCCAACCCTGAAAAGGGATGTGACTGAACATCTGAAAAATGTTAGTGATATCAGTACCTACTCGCTCATGGCTGCAATTAGGATTAAATGAAATAATGAAAGTAACATTTTGAGCGCACTGTTGGGCACACTGATTAAGTGACAAATATTTTTAATGATAATGATAAAAATGGGTAAAAAGTATAAATAGTGAAGTAAAATGCATTGATAAATTACAATGGAAAGAAATACAGAAAAGTCTCTCTCCAGGGCTTAATATAGTTTGCAGGAGGTATAGTGAGTGGAAAAAGCTCTTCCCCCTGTGACAGAGGCACCTTTGGGCCTGAACCCAGCACTGCTGCTACTTAACCATATAGCCCTGGACACTTGACTCCACCTCTCCTGGCTTTTGGTCACAGATGAGATCTCCTGCCAACTTGCCAGCTCCAAATTTTATCTCTTCTTTGTACCCTAGGTGAGCTCGCATTTGGGAATAGAACTGATGGAACAATTTCCTTACAATTTGAGAATTTAAGCTTCAGTATTTAGCTGATTTTGTGTGTTTGTTTTATATTTTTCAAATAAAAAGCCCCTTTCTGTCCAGCTTTCAGAGGAACTGACACAGCTGTGCCTATCAGGAGGAAATCCCACGGGAAGTGGCTGCCTCCCATTCCGAGGATATGTCTTGAGAATGAAACACACACACAACTTGGATGTGTTAGTCTTTAATATAATTTCACCTCTTTAATAGTAAACAAAGATGTGAATACAAAACTTCACAACGTTATCTGTCAGTAGTTCTGAACACTCACAGTGGACACCAGGTGGAAATTGAGGTCACTTAACACTTTTAGGAGACAATTCACCTGTTTCAGTGGACTCATGAGGTTCTGTAGTTGGAAGGCAAAGGTGAGGCACATGTTTGCAAAATATACTCATTTTACAGGAAAGCAGTTTTCCTTCCTCTCCCTTGCTTGGCATTAAACAAATGTTCATTTTCCTTTTATGTTAAAAATGCTATAAGAACTGAAGGAGACTTTCCTTGCTGCAATAAAATTAACTATATTTGCCATACAAATCTGGGTCAATATTGCTGGTTAAATTCCCTCAAAATGAGTGACTCATAGAAAATTAATTGTTAGAGGTTATCACACTTATATACCAAAAACACAATTTAGAGTTCACAGTATAAAGCTCTGTGGTATAAAGTGCCGATGAGCAGCTTGCCATTGTAGACTGAGGCCACAGAGCTTCCCTGAAGGACAGATCCATTGTTGGCATAAACTGTTGTTACTGTAGGCTTCTCGGATAGAATGTTCTGGATGCGCAAAACCTACTCAAGAGATACAAAATATTAATATAGAATCACCACACACCCATTCCACTCAGTCACCAATAATCTCTGTCTCCCATAATGACCTGATAAATTAAGCGATCATGTTGGAAACAGCAGTTCCTAATCTTTTTTGGTACCAGTTATTGAACTCAGGACCTTGCGCTTGCAAGGCTGGCGTGGCGCCACTGAGCTAAATCCCCGGCCCTGTTCCTAATCTTTTTAATGGTTAAAGTTAAAGCACTTTCTTAAACCTTCAAAGAAAGTACTTTTTAAAATCACCTAGTTTGCCATGCCAACACAGGATTTAGTGTTATTACAGCAATTCAGCGTTAAAAGAAATACTTACACACTAATGCACCCCCTTGCACGCTATTTCAAATGAACAAAATCCTGTCATGTGGAGAGCTGACAAACCAGATATTTTGAAAATTGCCAGTATGCTACACCAGGATATGTCTTTATAAAAAAGTCTTTGACTGTTTCCACCATAATTTAATACATCAAAAGATTATCTTTCTTAAAGCATTTGAACAATGTAATATTCTGCCAATTACTGGCTTAAGGCAATTATAAAACCACTATGCAAGTTTATTGTATTATTGGTTTAAAAGAACTAATAAATCATCCCTATGACAGTTTATTGCATTGCTAGTTCAAAAGGACTTAAATAATTAAAGTTGAAAAACTAAAAATATAAGAACCTCTGATGAGGGAGGATTGCTTGGGTCATACACGAATAGCTTCTGGCCATTAGGATGACAACCAGCCCAGATGTCCCCCGAGAAAGGCTCAATAGACAAATTATCCACCAGGGTATCCAGTGAGAGTACCTTCCAAAAGAAAAGATGTCAGTGTCTAAATGACATGAGAAACCTGATTAAATAATTTAGAGTTAACCTTTCCTGTCTCTACACATGTGGGGAAATGACACATATTTCCCTGCTTCTGCCCACCTAACAGCAATACTGCTTAAAATAATTTTAATAAGCTGGTTTGGAGCTACATTTCATCTTCTCTAAAATTAAGAAAGTTAGGGTGATAATCACCCTCAAGAAAATCAACTCCTTTTCCCTTAAAAGATGCACAATGATCAGTTAGCTTAAGGAACTCCATCAAAGCAAGATAAGAAATTCTTCATCAATCTAAAATATATGTTGTCAAGCAAGTAGAAAATAATAATGGTGTGGAACTCAATTTCTACCTTCATTTATTATTGAAAGAACTGACAATGTGTATAAATCTTCATTTGGGAATTCATCTATTAGTCTGTTCAGTTGTGAAAATTCTTATTGGAATTCTTCGAATGCCATCAGTACTTCATGGAATAGCCCTAAATCTGATGCAAATATCCCTCCACATGCTGCTGCATATAATCATAGTTGGTCCTCGTGACTTCTAGGAACAGGAAATTTCTCTTGTGTAGAGGTATACTTAAAAACAAAATAATTACACTGGCATCTGTGTTCTAAGTGCAGTATTGTTGTAACTATGTAACTGCAAAACATAATACTTTAATATCTATACTTAAAATATTTACCTTTGCTTGAGTTAAATTCATATCAGGCTGTTTTTTCAACACATGAATTTCATGAGCCAATAAGTCAGCCACATAGATGTACCTTTGCAGAAAGGACACACTGGTTAGACCTTCCTGCCAATAGAAAGCTTCATAATACAGCATAGAAGAGTAAGTCTTAATAGCCTGCCAAGAAGTTAATCAATGATGGTTAACTTAAGGAATGTTTGGCAAAGGTCAATTTTTATTTAAAATATAAGCTTACAAAATAAATTCAATGGTACAACAATGTGGAATTATTAAATTATTTTTCAAAAGGTCTGTAATAAAAAATAATATGACATCAATTTGAATAGAAAATTCATGACACTTGCCATTGAAATGAAAATAAAACAAATGTCAAGTTTACATTCCACTGTATAACTTGAAATTTCTAAATATTAATTACATATAGGACTATGTGGGACAGAATACATTTGATTAAAATGGTTATTAATGTTAACATTTAATAAAATATTAGTACATGGAAAATTACAAGAGTAAGAGATATGTATCTATCCAAAACAATCTGTCTACACCTGAGGGTGAGGTGAATTGGTGGCAAAAATAAACATGAAGCAGACACAGCCTCTTCCCACAAAAGCTTATAGTGTGATGACAGGATCACATTGGTTAGTAAACATCAGACCTCCAGGTCAGCATGGTTGGTACCACAAGAAATAGTCCAGGCCTAAAGTCTAACAATGCAGTGGCATAATGACAAATGGTCAGCATAGTTCAACAACTACTGAGCATTTGCTCTACACATGGTGCTGTACTTGGTACTCAGAATCAAAATGAAGACAGAGCTCCCATTTTGGGACCCTTTAAAGGCTAAAGATCCAAAGAAAGACAGAACTGGAAAGAATGCAAAAGATGGAAGTAGGATGAAAAGAACCTGGAGCAAAGTATCAAGGAGTCTAGCCAAGAGTGAGAATCTACACCAGGAAAATGTCAATGGGGGTGGAAGAGGCACAGGTGAAAACCAACAGGACTTGCTCACTAGTTAGATAAAATTGGAAGAGAAGTTAGAGCAGAACCCTCTTTTCATTGTTCTTACCATTTAGCTTGGGTGTCTGAAGTACAAGAATTGGGAGGAAAAACAGATTTGGCTGGAGAGGTTGGATCAGGTCAGTTAGTGACAACATGAATGATTCTACAGTCATTTTTTGTAAACAACAAGAAAAAAAGAGAAACTGCACAACAATAATACAAACATATAGTTGTTGAGGAATGCCACATTTATTTTCTGTTATATTTGTAGTAATCTAAATTGTTCACTACGCTAAGGCAGTAGAAGAGAAAGCCACTAAAGAATTTAATGTGCTTTCTTGTAGGTTGTGGTTGCACAATTAAAAATGTTCTGTAAAGGGTCATACTTTTTATCAGGTGAAATATTGATCCCATTTGCTGAATCAAATCCTTCTGCTACCACTTTAACTTCATTTGGACTGTAGTAAACAACATTTGCCCAGTGTAAATTCAAGTATGTCTCCAAATACTTTAAGAAAGGATCAGAGAAGTAGTGGTCATTGGTGGCATAGAAATGCATTGGTCCAATGGCTATGATATCATTTGTGCTGAAAGAGAAAAATGACATGTGAGAGAAAATAAACATAAATGTTGATCTCCATATTAAAGGACAGGCATTCATAAGGTTTACATAACATGTTTCAAATTTTTTCTAAGAGGTTTTCCAGGAAAAGTTGAGCTAAAATCAGATGGCTAAATTCATGTGGAACATACTGTAATATCATTTTCAAGAGAACAATTATGCATGGTAGCAGGTAATTTTGAGTTATGGCAGAATCATTATTAAAGAAAAGAGAGCTTGGTGCCATCAGGGTCGGTTTTGTGATGCAAAATGTTGGGGTTAGCAATCACATGTAAGGACCGGGCTGCCATGTCATAGTGCTGGACAGAGCTTGACTGGCTGTGGGCTGGTTAGCTGTCCATCCATAACATCACCTCACTCCCATTTACTCAAGGCGCTGGATTTTCCTGAGTCCTTTGCTTAGTGATTAGTCAAACTAAGGTTGACTGTTCAATTTTACCTGCCTCACAGGCTGACATGTGAGTCACTCAATAAACACTTGCAGAGATGGATGATGAAATTGCCATAGTGCAGTGTTTCAGATAAGAGATTGATATATTAAAAACAATTACAGTATAAAGCCAGTTAGGTGAGGGTGTTATTAAATTTCAATTTCCCTATGCAAAAATTTCTGAAGGTGCTGACTTCTTCCTTGTCAAATGAAAAATACAGTTATAGGGGAGGTGGGTCTCTCTCTCTCTCTCTTTTTTGAAAGAGCACCACGTTTCAGAGGCTGCCTATTTATTATGGTATTTATGCTCCTATTTATTATGAAGTGCATTTTTGGGAAGGATGATTGAAAGTTACATGCTTACACCCTAGACTGGAAAGTCAAAATTAAAAATGCCCATCAAATTTAAACAAAAAAGCAGATGGCTAATGAAAGCTGAGCCTGGAGGACAAACATAACTCTCTTTTAGTCATATTATCCACCAGTGTTGTGATCTTACTGTAGTAGTGACCCATTACCAATTTGACTACTTCCAATTCTGCAAGCCCAATTAGTCCACAGCCACCACTAACCTGTGAGAGCACTTTGTATAAAAAGCCCCATATTAACCAGGTTACTTTTTCTTGGCAGGACAGGTATGTGGGGATTGGGTCATTTAAGAGGAGAAAGTGGTAGACCTTATCTTTTACATTCCATGGGCCTGAAGAGTACGGCCTGCTAGTTCTAGATTTCATCATTTCTCAATAGAGTCTACATAGAGCACCAATTATTATAAACAATGACACAAACTTTCAAATGCCTGCTTTCCCTGATCCACAATGCAACTCTGTGTGTGTGTGTGTGTGTGTGTGTGTGTGTGTGTGTGTGTGTACACAGGATGAGTATCCCTTATCCAAAATGCTTGGGAGCAGATGTGTTTCTGATTTTTCATGTTTTTGGATTTTGAAATATTTGTGTATATGTAATGAGGTATCTTAGAGATGGGACCTAAATCTAAACACAAAACTCATTTATGTTTCATATGTATTTTAAGCACATAGCTAGAAGCCTGATTTATTCAATATTTTAAAAAATCTGTGCATGAAACATTTTCCACTTGTGGCATCATGGTGGTCCTCAGTGAGTTTTAGATTACAGAGCATTTTCAATTGTGAATTTTTAGGTTAGAAATAAGGCTCAACTTGTATAAATATACATACATACCTATATAAACTCTCGTATCATATTTAATATGTTGTATGTTAGATTTTATATTATATATGAGCTAATTTTAATGAGCTTTCATTTTAAAAGATAAGAGGGGCACCTGTCATGCTGGGGATGTTTGAAACACTAAAGACAAACTGAATGAACAAAAGGAGGAGGTACCTGGGAAGAAGCTCATGCTTGATTGTTTTCAGGTGCAACAGAGAATTTTCTTCTTCTTCAAATTTAAAAATTTCTATTGTATTCTTGAATTCAGGGTGGTTTACAACAAAGAGATAAACTGTGTCATCTAAAGAGTTGAAAGAACAGAGTTAATTTTCAAGACATACCAATAGAACCTCTTGGCAGACACTGACATTTAAATACCATGGCCAAGGAAAGGTGGAATGCACAAGCTGTTAGCCAGCCTAACAGGTCACTCTCACACTCTTGCCTGTCACTGTCTGACTGGTGTTATTTCTGACCATTGGTCCCTGACCTTTAAGAAAGGGTGTTTCCTACTGTATGTACAGAATTGATGCATAATCTTCTTAGAGCTTAATTCAGAAATATAGCTCTTTTTAATACAATGATTATAAGTTTGTGAAAAGGTTATGAAATCTAAACATTCTTTCAAAAGGTAACATAACACACTGCTAGCTGAAGAGACAAGTGAACAAGTTGTTTGTATGAAGAACAGAGGAATAATTCATGAGTTACTGTCCTTTCAGTATGATCCAAATCTATTTCCAATCACTTGTAAGCCATTCTGTGTTTCTCAGCACTGGTATCTTATCAGCTCTTACCATTGTCTATGAATGTGCTGATGCCATGTGGATTAAAGGAAGCCAAATCAAACCCTCGGCTGATTCTTAATTCCAGTGCCCTAGGTTTGTCTTCATTTAGATCCATCATTAATATTCCTCCAGGTTTATCTGGTGCAAAGCTGTGGAGTCCTGGAAATTGAAGACCCTTTCCAAAACAGTGAAAAGATTAAAAACACAAGTGTAAGTACCTCTGTGGACTAAAGAGGGAACTCCCCATGGAGGGTAGAAACTTTGGTTAAAGGTGATGGCATAAAGCCATAAACACAAAGGAAACAGAGAAGACAATAGAAAAATAATAATTAGGATCTAGAAAGCTGAACAATAACTGGGATACAATAAAAAAAACAAGGACCCATTTTTTTGCATAAAATTGGACATAATAGGAAATCCTTTAATTCTTAAAAATTGATCTACAATTGGACACTTGTGAGGCTGGCAGCTCTGGTAAGTAGAATAAACTGGAATTATACTATTGCTGCAAGGCTGTGCCACTTCAGCTGTTCATAATTTCCATTCTTTATTAATGTCCCCAAAACAATAGCAGGGTTTACATGCACAGGAAGCACTGCCAGATGGTAATAATTATTCACGTTCTCTTAACACTTCCTATGATTTAAATCTTTTATCTTTTAAAAATACATTTTATTTTTAATTGTGATAAGACAAATGATATAAAATTCACCATTATTATCATTTTGAAGCACACAGTTCACTAATGTTAGGTGCATTCAACTTGTTTAAATCTTTTTTATATTCTGTTCTTTGATCCAATCTCTCATCCATGTTAGTTTTGGGGTCATCCTCCAATCCAAACCTAGGATGGGTTAGAGGAGCTAAAATGCTAGCAAGAACAAATCACTTCCATGAAGTTGAGCTGTTCATTTTAAAAGGAAGGGCATTCTGGGAAGTGTTGGAGACAATGCTGAGCACATGAAAAAGAGCAATAAAGAGTAAATGTTTCTAAAATTTGTCTCCCCAAAAAGTCATCTAATCAAGGATGGATAACAAAAAAATAGCAGGAAAAAAAATTCATTGACATAGTTACAAGATCACTGCAACTGTACTATGTTCCTCAGCTAAAAGGGCTGTATTTAAGTACTAGGAGATTTTCTTTCTTTCTTTTTTTTTTTTGGTACCGGGGATTGAACTCAGGACCTTGCGCTTGAGAGACAGGTGGCAGAACCACTGAGCTAAATCCCTGGCCTCAAGATTTTATTTCTTTCGATTTATTCCTGTAAGGGTAAAATTCTTGAAATAGGTAAGTTCAGAGCTACACAAATCTCCATCCTTGCAACAAACAAACAAACAAACAAACAAGCACTCCATGCAACTGCCTTCTACTTGAGTCACGATTTTTGCATTTCTAGATATGCGTGTGACTAGTCTCAGTGTTTTCCCTAACCTGTAATCACACACTTCTGAACAAACCCAGAGTCCTACCATAAATATCATTTGATTCATTCTGTGTAGACAATTATATAAAACTTTATTTTTAAAACTATATTTTAAAAATTAAAGATAAATATTGACATTTCTACTGAAACTCACGGTATCTCTTTTTCCCTCTGTGGTAATAACCAGCTGCTCACAGTCACCATATAAAATCTATCAGAAACCTGAGGAGTGTTCTAGCCCTCATTCTCTTCCAAACTGAGTTCTCTCACCTTTCTCATAAGTCTGACAACTATTTTATTAGTGTTGCAGCTCTCTTCTAAAGTATTTCCAAGTTTTTCACATCCCCTCTGAGTCTCAGAGCCTGAAAATAATGGATGTTGAGAGGGAACAGAATGATTACAGGGAGACTTTAAAGCCAGGTACTTCCTCCTCAAGAAGAACTGGACCCAAGGAAGACGCAAAAGGCCTGCATCTCTGTAAGCCAGGGAAGTACGTACTTATTTCACCAGCATACTTATCTGAATTTCAAGTTAGAATGGATATTGGTGCAGGCCAGCATCAGACAGTTTTAAAGTCTTTCTACTGCATGCTCAGAAGGGATATTACTTTTTGGCTTATAAGAATTAAGGCCAAAATGTAGGGTGTTAAGAAACTTGGTGACTTTCCATTCATGATAGGATATACAGGGAAGAAAAGAAAGAAAAAGTATTAGCCTTGGCTTGAGAAAGTTGCCACAATGAAATATAACAAATATGAATATGTAACAATGAAAATGCTTAAAACTGAATAGGTACCAGACAGGATAGAGGCTATATTTAAAATGGTATATTAGCAGCTATGCTATTATACTAATATTATCCACAACAAAGCTTCCAACATCCATTTTAATAACACGCTTTTAATACACGGGTTGTATTGGAATATTTTAGGGCAATGCAACGGGGAAATAAAGAACCATAAGTTAATTGGCAAAGACTCTTCATCTCTACATGCACAAAACCTTGAGGAAGTTTTCTAAGACCCAGTTTATCCCATTTTTTTTCTCCAGAACATTTGCTGGAAAGTGAGGAATTTTAAAAGGAAGTTATCACTTCACAGGCTTGCCACTCCTCTACTGCACTTGAGAGAAGAACGTCGTGGTACTCACCACACTAAAGAAAGCCAGGCCATTGGGAAGAATGTCAATATCTTCAGAGCCAGCTTCTGCAATCCAAGGAGTAGAAAAGTGTCATTTTTCAAGTTCTGTTATTGGAGGTAGCGTATCTGCAACCTTATTTACTTTATCAGAGTGTCTGTATCTTTAGGGATGGTTCCATTTTTTAATACACCATTTTCTTTAATTAATGTCTGTCTAAAACATTTCCTAAAATGAACTTCTGATTTTAAATGTTAGATATTTTGTGTTTACTTAAATCAAACTCAAATTATCACTACACTTCTCACTACAATACAGAAAAAGTTGACATCTGAAGACTCTTATGATAGACACACAGATGTCTGTACAAAAGTAATTGACACCAGGGGAATATGACTTTCAGAAGGGAGGGCTCACAGTCATTAAACCATGCAAACATCCTTGTCCTCTTTGCTCATTCAATCTGAAGCAAAAAGACATTTCTCTCATTAACAGAGGTAAAACACCTGGGAGTGCCCACTTGTTCTCATGAGCAAAAAAAGCTTTCTATTTGGGGTTTAAGTTTAGGCTCTAAATTATAAGAAAAGAGAACAAGAAAAGCAAATTAATGAAAAACACCACACACCTAAGTCAGTTGGAGCTTCCAACTCCCATCAGTGAAGCAGACTACAATTACTATTGATTGTTTATTGATCGTCTGCAGCACACTTCACATAGCACAGCAAATAATTAGACATAAGACTTCCCAGCGATCTTACCGTATAAATTCCAGACAGATAACAGACCCAAACACAAGAAAAGAGGAATAAAAATGACTTAAATGAAGCCAAATCATGACACATTCTTTGAGTCTACAAAATCCAATCTTCCTCTTTAAGACCTCTCCACAGGATTTCTCCAAGATTATTTTTACATTGTCAAAAGCAAACCACATCTACCTATCCAGCCATTTTGGTTTTGCTTCATGAGTTTGAGTTTAGCCAATTGCTTCTGTTCTACCATAGTGCAGAAAAGCAGAACAAAGGAAGAATGCCAAGAGCTGTACTTCATAAAGATCACCCATTTGCCCATTCCTTAGAAAGAAAATATATATGAATAAGTTCAAGCATGGTGTATTGGAAGGGTTCAGTAGACCCCTGAAGAGATCCAAATTGGTTTCAGAGAATCTGTGGATCTTCTGAAATTATATCTGAGTATGCCAGATCTCTGGCAAAATCTAAGTATGCTCAGATGAGAACTTTTCTGTGAAAAGGGTCTTTGATTTCCAGCAGATTCGAAGAAGGATCTGTGATTCCCCGAAAAAAAGTTAAGAACCACTAGATTCTAGGCCCACAGTGGTTTGCAACTGAGGAGTGAACAGGGACAAGAACTCTAACACACACACACACACACACAATTTCAGTCCAAGTTTTGGTTTCTGGGCCCATTTATTTGGAGCTCAACTCATTAAAATTTGTTTTTTATTAAAAATTATTTAAGAAAATTTAATCTCAACATATATGCTTATCATATAAGCACCTAGCAATGTCTCTACAATGGTACAATTATGAGTGATTTTCATTTTCTTTATACTTTTTTTGTTTACGATTTTCTATAGGCTGAGGGTGTAGCTCAGTGGTAGAGTGCATGCTTAGCATGCATGAGGCCCTGTGTTAAATACCCAACACCAAAAATAAATAAATAGAATTAAAAGACAAAAAATTCTACAAATTTTAATATTGCTTTATCAAGAAAAGAATATTTTAAAAAATAGATTTATTTCAACCACAGTGTAACTTTATTCTTTTTGATTCCATCGCCTCATTCCAATGAAGAAAAGTCTTATTCATAGTTACTGTGGAATATTTTCCAGATCTACTCAACAATCTTCATTTCTATAGCCAGTACCACAGTGAGATTTTGTTATTTCATATCACCACTATGGTATGATTACTGCAAGAGCAATCACTGTGACAGAAACATTTTTCCTCCTCTAACTCAGTAATAATAATAGTAATTGCTACCAACAAACATCAAGTGCTTATCAAGTACCAGGCTCTTTGTAAGAACTTTACACGCAATATCTCATGTAATTTCACAATGCTAAGAGGCAATATTATTATCCTTTATTTTAGACTTGAGAATTCAGAACCTTTGAAAGGTTAAGCAAATTGCTCAAAATCACAAAGTGAGAAGCTAGGACTTAAATCCTTTGGTCTAATCTAAAAGCACATAGAAACTATTTAACCCACCATTTAATGATTTTTTCTTTTTCTGTCAGAACTTTCCTTGGTGTCTCTCTAAAGACTCTGCACTTTGTAAATCCACCTATTGTCAATTCCATATGTTGGGTTTTCCCCAAGATTTTTACTCCCTTGCTTCTTACCAAAATCTTCCGAACCAAGCCATATCCTGAACATTTCATTAAAGCCTCTTTCAAAATCCTTTCTCTATAAGTTTTCTAGCTATGTGGATCTAGTTTGGAACCCTTCTTATTCCTCCATCAGTCAGCTGTCTGTGTCATACATGGCCAGCTGCTCCCCAGTGTCCATACTCCTCTTCCTTTTTAGCAACAGGCACATGGGTACATAGCTGCAGATGACATTCTTCTGGGCTCTTCCCTTTCTTCCTGATAGATGGTGGCAAGTGTCTAAGTTCAGGTCAATGGGACATGACAGCACAAGATATATACAACTTCTGAGTAAAATAAGACAAAGATGTAAATAGTCTTTCTACCCCTTTCTGGTGAAAAATGGCAACAAATGCAGTTCTCGTCTTAGACCAAGATGGAACAATGTGAAGACAACCATATGACTCCATGAGTCTTTGTTCCTAAATGACCACAGTCATCTAATCACTCAAGAACTTAGGCCATTTGCTTTCCTTTGGACTGCTACATAATGGAAAGACAACAATAAACTTCTTTCTTCTCTAAACTATTATAACTTTATGACCACAAGTTGCTCCTTGGTAAATCCAACAGAGTATTTAATGTGTAATATAGCCTATTATTTTCTACTTTTTGATTCAAAAATCAGGTATATATGTTAATCACCCTGGAAAAAGATACTATATTGGAAAAAGAATTTTTAAAAGCTACTTTACCTCTCTAAGGCTCAAGTCCTTATTTGCTAAAAATAGTGTTCAAACTATTCTTTTTTTTTTTTTTTTGGTACCGGGGATAGAACTTGGGACCTTGTGCTTATGAGGCAGGTGGTGGAACCACTGAGCTAAATCCCCAGCCCCAATGTATATATTTCTCTTGCCAAGATCACCATTCTTTTTTTTTTTTTTTTGGTACTGGGGATTGAACTCAGGTCCTTGTGCTTGCAAGGCAGGCGGCAGAACGACTGAGCTAAATTCCCGGCCCTGTTATAGATAGTAAATGCATTTTTGGCTTGGGTTTTTGCTTGTTTCTCCTCTCTTTCTCCCCAAGTATACTATACGACAAGGGTTATGAACATAAATGTTTTTCTCTGAAAAACAGTTATGATAAAGTTCTTGACTGCTAAATGCATAAAGCTGTCAGTTAATTTGGGGGGGGGTGAGATCAAAACTTTTTTTGTCCAGAACTCAGAATGCCAAACATTAAGAAAATAAGTCTTTAAACTTTAAGCCAAGCTAGCTTTTGTCAGTGTACAGATGCTAATATTATGCTAAATCTTCAGTGTATGAAATCTCATTTCTGCCTGTAAATGCAGACTTAGAATGAAAAAGTGGAATGGTGAACTCAGTTTCTGCCTCACCAAAGGTATGTGATATGTAGCCAGTGATTCTTATTTACTAAATCAGGAAGACCTAAAGTGATATGATATGGATAAAGCACTCAAAGATTACAAAGAGTCTGTGTGTGTGTGTGTGTGTGTGTGTGTGTGTGTGTGTATGTGTTTGTGTGTGTGTGTTTATGGAGGGCCAGGGGGCTGAAGGAAAGATGAGCTTCAAGTGACAAGATCCTTTCTGCCCTTGCTGCCTACTGTAACAATCTGTTTATATCTACATGGGAATGTATGTCCAGCTCACTGTTATTCCTTATGACCCAAGACCACCAGATAAGCAACTGTTCATTAAAAATACATAACCACAAGCTATTACTAACCATTACGCACAACTAGCAATGCACTCAACAAATGTTCAGATGCTGTGCACTAACCACAGGACAACAGCAAAACAGAAAGAATGAAAAGCAGTACTAATGAGATCTAAACATGTATCCCAAATGTGCTTCTAGTCACTCATCTTCTTCGCTCTGGTGCCTTTTGAAGTGCCTCAGAGACACTGAACACATAAGAAGTGAGGCTATAGGTGACATGTTTCCTCTTTCTTTCCCATTCCAGACAGCAGTTCATACACATCACAACATAAAGGTCACAAATGCCGACAGATGTCTGTTCAGAATACAAATGCTACAAGGCTTGTTTTTCTCCCAGGCATGCTCCATCTCATGAACTGTAACAGGAATACACTTGGCAGTTTGTCCTGTAATGTGTCTGGCTGTGTCCTGTTGTCTGCTCTGAGACTTGAATTCGCAGAAGGTAGACTTCACTGGGCCAAGGGCTGTTCGATAATGTCACACTTATTAACTCAGTAGCCAAAGTAACCTAAGAGATCAGTAACCCAGCTTCCAACTTATGTCCCACATTCCTCACAGACACCATCTGGCTCTTGCTAGACAATTTGGAGGTGCTCTTTTTGATGGCAGCATGAAGTTGCTGAGGACCAGGGGACTTGAGAACTGCCTTAGTTCTAGAAGTGGCTGTGTCAGCTGGCATGGATCTCATCAATCTGGTATTTGATACTGAATTTACAACCTCCTGCTAAGGGTTTAGACAAATGGAAGAAAGAGGAGAAGGCCCAGGACAGTCAACTGGTCTAGGTGGAAGGGAGACAGGACTAAGAAACATAAAAGTAGCAATAAAAAAAGTAAACAGGAAAGAGACATGCAAAGAATGAGAAGCCAGAGACAGATCTGTACAGAAACTCTGAGCCAGGTAGGGTGGTGCATGCCTGTAATCCCCGCACTCTGTGAGGCTGAGGCTAAAGGATCACAAATTCAAGCCCAGCCTGGACAACCTAGCAAGATACTGTCTCACAAGAGAAAAAAAAAAAATAGGCGAGGGGTATAGCTCAGTGTGAAGGTCCTGGGTTCAACCCCTAGTGCCACCAAGAAAAAAAATAAAGGAAGATAAAACAAAGTTTGCTCTGAGGTTCTGTTTTTGCCAAAGGAATACTGTAAATTGTGTCTGGAGTGAGTGTGATTAAAAGTATGAAGCATCAAGTTTATCAGTGTTGCCAATTCAAGGGTGATTTAGTGATGACTATCAAACTTTATACATGTATCCTAATAACAATCTCACTGTTGAGCACTTATTCACACACTTACAAATGTAAGAGAAACAATGGTCACTGACGGTAGTTATAAAACACTACAACAATGAAATTACATCATACTAAGAAGATTCTGCAAGCAAAGGAATCAATCAACAGAAAAAACCTGCAAAATGAGAAAAAATATTTGCAAACTATTCATCTGAGTAGTTTATATCCAGTGTATATATATAAAAAAACAATTTAACAGCAGCCCCCCAAAATAGCTGATTTAAAAATGGGTAAATGATCAGAGTAAGAATCTATCAAAAGAACACACAGAGGCCCATGGATTTGGCTCAGTGGTTTCGCTTTTCGCTGCCTGCCACGTAAGCGCAAGGACCTGAGTTTGATCCCCGGTACCAAAAAAAAAAAAAAAAGAACACACAGAAAGACACAGAAATGCAGTTTGAGTATGCAAAAATACTCACTATCACTAATCATCAGGGAAACACAGATCAAAACTACAGTGAGACATTATTATTTCATCCTAGTTAGAATGCCTATCAAAAAGCCAAAAAAAAAAAATTCTGGGCAGGAACTCTTATACACTGCTTGTGGAAATATGTATTAGTACAGTGATTATGAAGAATAGTATGGAGCTTCATCAAAAGATGGAAACTAAAACTACCACATGATCTAGCAATCCCTCTGTTTGGTATTCATCCAAAGAGGTTGAAATTACTATATCAAAGAGATACTGGCATGACCATGTCTATTGCAGAACTATTTACACTGGCTAAGTTATAGAATAAATCAAGATGTTCATCAAATATCAACAGATGAAAGGGTTAAAATGTGATATACATATGAATATTACTCAGCCATTTAAAAAGGAGGAAATCTTTTCATTGTGGATGGAACTGAATGACACTGTGATAAATGAGATAAGCCAGGCACAGACAGACAAATACTGTTGTGCTTTCTCTCATTTGTGGAAGCTAAAAAAGTTGATCACTTAGAACTAGAGAGCAGAATAGAGGTTACTAGAGAATAAGAAGGGAAGGAGGGAAGGGGAATGGGGAGGGGGGATGATGGGCACCACTTGGGGGGAGTAATTCTGAAATTCCATAGCATAATAGCGCAACAATAGTCTATAACAATTCACCCTGTACCTGAATTTTAAAATAACTACAACAAAAAATCGGAAGGTTCTCAACATATAGAAATGGTAATAATTGAAAAGATAGAAATGCTAGTTGCCTGATTTGATCATCACATACTGTACACCTGTATTAAATTATAATACTGTATCCCATAAATGAGTAGAAACATTATTTATCAATTAAAAATTACAATTAAAAAAAGAACCACAAATATAGAAGTTTGATATAATCACCAAACAAGGTTTCATGTAACATTCCTTAGGTACACTGACAAAACTGAAAGAAATTAGTTAGATTGCTTTCAACTTGTGATCCTGGCCAGGTGTGGTGATGCACACCTGCAATACCAGCATTTCGAAGGCTGAGGCAGGAGGAGCATCCTGAGTTTGAGGCAGGCCTGAGCTACACAGTGAGTTCAAGGCCAGCCTGAAATACAAAGACGGGCTCTGTCTCAAAGAAACAAACAAACAAACAAACTACAAAAACTCTTTTGTTCCATCCCCTGTATATGCTACTTATGGTACATCATAATGTATTTATTTTTGTAAACTGTATTATTAGCCTGCTTTAGCACAAGTATGTTGAATTGTACTTTCCTCCTTCTCTTGAACGCATCAATCTGGTTCATGTGAATATTTAGGAATGTAGCAAGACTGTTTTGGACTGAGGCAGCTCTAGAATAGTCTTAAGTGATCTAGAAGTAGTTCAGTGTATTTCCCCAGAGGCAGCATTTTCAGGGCAGTTCACTGTTTTCACTTATATTGTAATTTTTTTGGAGGGGCTACGAAAAACCTGATAGAGACCATCAGAGAATGAAAGTCGGCCTCCCCAAAGGAAGGTGTGCTTAATCCTATTGGACATCTTGCATTTTTAAAATACTGGGGACCTCAAAAAATGAAAACAGTAGCACTTCTGACTTCTGAGATGATCTGTGGGATTGCTTTGGCAATTGAAAATGACCAAAATGAGATTCCTCTTGGAAATTCTTTGTTAGCCACGAAAGATATTACAAATGCAAGGAATAATAATTAGCAAGCCAAACGGCCATTATCCATGGATGAACAGATAAACAAAATGTGGTCTATGCATACAACAGAATATCATTTGGCCTTACAAAGGAAGAAAATTCTGACACAAAGTACAATACAGATGAACCTTGATGACACTATCTAAAGTGAACTAAATCAGTCCTGAATAGAAAAACACCATATGACTTCACTTACATGAGGTATTTAGAGTGGTCCAATTCATAGAGACAGAGTGGAACAGTGGTAGCTGGGGACTAAGGTGGGAAGAAGTGTGAGTCGAAGCTTAGTAGATAGAAAGTGTCAGTTTTCCAAAAGTTCTGGAGACGGTTAGTGGTAATGGCACACAACAATGTGAACACGGTTAACACTACAGAACTCTACACTTGAAAACGGATAAAATGACAAATTTTATGCTGTTCATATTTCATCATAATTTTTTTAAGTTAGAGAAACCAAAACACAAAAACCCAAACATGAATTAAAAAGTGATTGAATAAATAAAGCATGGTACACATAAATATTAAAAAGAATGAGGTAAATCTACATATGCGGATGTAGAAAGTTGCTTATATTGTATTAGGAATAAAACAAGTTGTGGAGTATTTATACTAAGTTGTCATTTGTGAAAAATTTTGACATATGTTTATGTGCATGTATTTGTTTACATATACACCAAAAATATCACGGAAGACAAAAAAGAAACTATCTCTGGTGTTATTTCTGTGAGTGACTGGAGTTTGTGGAGAGATTTTTCATTTTCCACATTCGTTCTTCTACGCTGTTTGAACATATAGTACTCCTATGGACTTTATGTGAACTTTGTACAGAAAATACTGCACTGCTGTTAGAAAAGACTACTGTGCTGACATAAGTTCCCGAAGCACAGTATTGAGTGAAAAAAGCTAGCTCTGAAATATTAAATAAAATTTCCTCCATTTGTGTGTTTTAAAAGTTGTATGTGAGAATATTCCTAAAGAGAGAAGAAGAAAGTATAGAATGACACTCAGAGTGTGTTTGGCAATGTTACCTGTTAATAGGAGGGCTTTTCCATGTTACCTGGATTTCAGTTTATAAAAAATAAAACAAAAACCGCAACGGTCTCTCTCACCTCTAGAAGCTGTTACCTGAGAACTAGAGGCACACAGTTAGTCTAGTCATTTCTACACAGAGACTCGCAGAGTAAGATGATGGATGGGCCAAGACTGTAAAACTCTCAGCCTACTCACAATTTCATCGCTGCAGGTGAGAAAATAGCAAAGGCCAAGCTTTGCCCAAATTCGCGTTACAAATGTGTGGCAGAACCTGAACTAGAAATTAGGTGCTTTGACTTGTAGTTCTTTTTGTTTGTAATCACACCATGAATTATCTCTAAGAAGAGCCAGTGCTTTTATTGTTCATCAATAACTCAATAACAAACTGTCCTAGAGACTTTTGTAAATGGAAAAGGGTAAAAAAAAAAATGCAAGACACAGACTCTGCCCTGCAAGAAATTGCAGGGAAGCTGGAGAGACCCTCAATGCTGGGGAAGAAGCTGGTCAGTGTCCTCACTATCTGCAACAGAATGAGCTTGTTCTGAGGAGTTCCTCCTAAGACTCCGTGCTATGGTGCACCCTACACACAACTGGGGGACAGGGACACCTCACTAGTGGCGCTCCCTTCTGCAGTGAAAAGGTAAAACAGGAACACTTTCTTTTAAATGCAATTTGTGAAGCATCGATTATACTTAGGTATGAGACCAGATGCTGGTTACAGGGTAGTGAAATGAGCAAGATACATACTGTTCCTGACTTTGTGGAACTTCCTCTCCACTTCCCATCAATAGCTGACCGTTAGAGGAAAGTGGAACAGACTTTGGTGGCAGTATGCAAAGAATACATACTTTACTAGTACAATTCAGAGAAGTCACAACACAGCAAGAAAACAAACAATAAACATGGGATTATAAAATTAATAAATTATGGTGAGTGTTAAGATAGATAAATACTCGATGCATGAGATCAAAAGAGACCAGAGAGGTTTCAGTTGATCTAATGTGACTTAATTGCTGGAAAACACTCACTGCATTACAAAATACTTTTAATGAATGTTTTGATGTTGATGGTCAAATAACGTAATGTATACAGCAAGTATTTTCTCATACGTACCAATTCCTTTAATTAGGTGGCAGTTTGGAAGGTCTATGGATTCAATTTCTCTGGAGGCTTTAAGTCGATTTCTGTTTAAAACAAACAAACAAACAAACTTCTTGTTTATGTATTCCCTGTTTGGTTTGAGAAAATGATTAAGGAGGCTTGTAGCAATACAAAAAGAAGCATACATCTAAAGCAGATGAAAGAGGACAGAGAAATAAGTGTAGGTACATAAAACAGCACCAGAAAAAAAGTTAAAACAAAAATGTATGACACAAAGTTCTACGTATCGATGTTGGAAAAACAAAGCCAAAGATGTAATAAATCAAACTAGGATGCAAGTTCTTATGCGAACATAAAGAGAGCACCAGGTCACACTTCTTACAGCTCTGGTGAGGGCGGAGAGCCAGAAGCCCCGTCTTCCTGCTAAAGAGCTGTCACACAGTGAAACATCAAGTGATGGGAGTCTCACACCATGACTGCAGGGAGGCCAGGGGAAATGGCACTGCTCAGAGCCTGGCACACAGCGGGCACACCCCAACCCTCACCAGGGAGTTAGAGGGGAGGTTCCCATACTCAAGGCAAACTTGTCTGGAGAGCACCAACTACTTTTGTAACTGTGGCAGCAAAATGTCATGTTCCCATTGTTTTAGGAAAACAAAGAAGAAATAACAGGGGGTGTCGAACTCTGATATCTTGCACCTTCCTTTTTACCCTCAATGGTCCGAGGCAATTTGGTCCTGCACTTGTGGAAGTGCAGAATTACTTTCAAGGCCACATTCTATGTCTCTTCTCTCATTTTTTACTTTCTTCTTTAGAGCCAAAAAAACCACAATCATGCTTGCAAAGTACTTTATGTTTTACAAAGGAGTTCCCACATATCATACATTTAACAGAAAAATACATACTGGCCCCTTGCCCCTCTCCTATTTGAATCCCTGGCAGCTTCTGATTTCCATACACTGAACATGGGGAAAGGTTCTCAGTGGAATGTTTGAATGCCCAATCGTAGGTAACCAACAGGTTGTGCCCAATTATATGTTTTGGCAATTCATCTCATCTATAAAATCTCTAAATAAAATGTTAATCAGTATGTATGCAGAATCACAAAACTCAATAGTATTACATTTGAAATAATTCAATAAGCAAACAAGTAAACAATACACAAATATATAAATGAAATACAATTTACATGTATTAAAAAAGTAAAACTTGACAAGATAAAGCAATGAAAATACAGCAAATCTCATCCCAGGAATACAGTAATTTTAAAGGAAAAAAAAAAGTATATATAACCCATGTAGTGGTAGCTGCAAAGGTAATGATGCTGCTGATGATAATCAAGGTGGTCACAGGAAATCAATAATAAAAAGAGCTACAACTTACTACGGTTCTCAGTCTATCACTGTTTTAAGTGATTTACCTTGAGCCACCCTATGAATTACTCCATTGTAGAGATGATAAAAATAAGTGGACGGGCAAAGCCACTGTTATCTAAGTTCCGACTCAGTGAGGAAGCTGGAACCAGCTACCACTGAGATGCAGACCTTGCTTTAATCACCCTATACTATTCTCAGACAGGAGTGAAGAGACCTGTATTCTCTTCCTAGTAGTAACACTGCCCTGACTCATGCCAAGTCACTGAATCTCTGTAGGCCTCAGTCTTCTTTATAGATATAATAAAGATGAACTTTATATAAGACCCCAAGATTCTTCTGATACTGAATGACCCCACAAGCAGATGTACATACAAATCAATGGGTCACAGTTGTGGTGTGAACATCACATATCACATGTTGGTTTGTCATGAACTTTATACAACATACGTACAATATCTATTTGACTGCACGAAATTAAGGATGAGGGTAATCACCATCTACCTTTTTCAAAGAGAAACTATGAGCAAACAGATCAACTTTACAAATAAGTAGAATCTACACCAAGTAACATGTTTAGATGTATCTGAACAGTTTAAGAAAGAGTATTTATTTCAGAGTTAACAGGTTTGCATAAACGACTGATTTACACACTTTGTTTTGGGGAAAATCTTCACCTAGTTTATTTGTATGACATTATTCCTAGATATATAAGCTACTTGCTATTAAAATTGAAGTTACTTAAGGGCTGTGCATGACTTCTAGCTAATCAAATACTTTCCCCCTCTTGGTTTTCCTTTGTTATTATTATTTTGTTTTGGGGAAAATCTTCACCTAGTTTAGATGTATAATATTATTCCTAGATATATAAGCTACTTGCTATTAAAACTGAAGTTACTTAAGGGCTGTGCATGACTTCTAGCTAATCAAATACTTTTCCCCTCTTGGCTTTCCTTTATTATTATTATTTTTTTTAAAAAATAAAATTTTGCTTCAATCCTTCAACCCATCCATGACTTCCAGATTCCATCAGTAGAAAGCTATTGGACTTGTTCCCTGGCAGAACGATCAGTTCCCTGCTTGTTGGTGTAATTCTATATATTCCAAGTGGCAGACACCATACACTGAGAAATGGCCCTCCTCCCTTTCTACTTTGATCTTTCTACTACAGTGAGCAAGCTGGATCCGTGATTTCTGGTGCATTTAGGTGTCATGATATGACTCAAGTTTAGGGGAAAGATATTTTTGTACCTGATAGAATGGGCAGAAACACATGCAGTGCTTGAGAAGACAGCAGCCATTCTGCATCCTTTTTTCTTATATTTCTCAAGTTTATTTGCATTGACATTAAAATTAGGAGAGTGAACATATTTTAAAATTTCAGTGGGTCTTTTAAAAGGTCTTTTTAAATAAAACTTGCATTTGTGTCTATTGTTCAATCATCTTTTGCCCCTTTTCTTTAGTGTATGTTTGTGATACATCATAAATACATCTATGGTGGGGAACTGGTACATGTACATTTCAAATCTTAATCCTTTTCACTTAATTTTTCCCTCCCCACTCCCAGATTCTTCCACACCCAGATCTATTTCCCTGTACAAAGTCTTCTTGTTTCCTATTATCTATCTTTTATTTTATTCTTTAAATTATTTATACATAGTATTTCTTATATAAAAGAACCCTGCATTATTTAACCTTCTGTGTCTGATTTATTTCACCTAGCATTATAGTCTCAAGGTGCATCCATTTTCCTACAACTGACTCAGGTTAATCCTTCGTTAGGGCTGAGTAGTACTGCACTGTGTATATATCACACATTTTCTTTATCCATACATCTACTGATGGGTATATAGGCTGCTCCCAATATTTGGCTATTAGCAGTGCTGCTATAAATATGCATATGCATGAATCACTGTAATATGATGTCTTTAACTCTGTCAGGAAGATACCCAGAAGACATATATACAGGTCAAATGGCATTTCCATTTTAAAGTTTTCTGAGGAATCTGCATATTGATTTCCTAAGGGATGCACTAGGTTGCATTCCCACCAGCAATACAGAAGGGTTCCTTCTTACCCACAACCTCAATAACATTTGTTGTTGTTTGTTTGTTTTTGTGTTCTTGATGACAGACATTTGTTTTGGAGTAAGAGGGAATCTTGGTGTTGCATTTATTTGCATTTCTCTAATGGCCAAAGATGCTGAACATCTTTTCATGCACATATTGACTATTTATAGTACTTCTTTTGAGAAGTGACTATTCCCTTCAATTGCCTGTTTTCAAATTTAGTCTTTTATTTTGGGAGATCTAATTTTTTAGTTATTTATACATTTTAGATATCAGTCCCCTAAAGAGTAGCCAGCAAAATTCTTCCCATTCTGTAGGCTGTCTCTTTACTCTGTTAGTTACTTCCTCTGCTGTGCAGCTTTTTCATTTCATAAAATTCCATTTGTTAATTGTTGGTGTTATTTCTTGTGCAACTGGGGTTCTGTTTGGAAAGTCCTCGCCTAGACCTATATCTTTAAGAGTTTACCTACATTATCTTCCAGCACATTAAATATTTCTGTTTTAACATTTAGGTCTTTGATCCATTTTGATGTGATTTTAGTACAGGATGAGAGGTATGGTTTTAAATCCATTCTTCTGTGTGTGGAAAGCTAGCTTTCCTATCACTGTTTGTTAAAGAGGCTAACTTTTCTCTAGAGTGTGCTTTTGGCCCCTTTGCCCAATATCAGATGTCTAAAGGAGCCTTAGGTTGTTTCTGTAGCCTCAATTCTGTTCCACTGATAAACATGTCTTTTTATGCTAGCACAATACTGTTTTTATGACTATAGCTTTGTAATATAACTTGAAATCTGACATTTATAACATCTCCTGCTTTGCTCTTATTGCCCTGGATTGCTTTTTACTATTCTGGGTCTCTTCTGGTTCCATATTTTAGAATAGGTTTTTTTGTAGTTCTTTAAAGAATAATGTTGGCATGTTGATTAGGACTGCATTAAATCTACATACCATTTTTGGTAATATGGTTGTTTTGACAGTATATATTCTGACTTTTCAGGAAGAGGAGGTGTCTTTCCATTTTCTGATGTCCTCTTCACTCTCTGTTTTCAGAGTACTATAATTTTCTTTTCTAGTGGTCTTTCACTTCCATGGTTAGGTTAATTCATAGGTATTTAATTTTTTAAACTATCATGCATAGGGTTATCTTCTTAATTTTTTTCTTGGTAGATTAACTGTAGGTGTACAGGAACACTATTGGATTTTGGGGTATTGATTTTGTAATATGCTACTTTGCTGAATTTGTTCAGTAGTTCTAGGAGTCTTTTGGTGGAATTTTTTGGGTCTCCTATATAAGGATCATGTCATCTGCAAATAAGGATAGTTTGACACCTTCATTTTCTACATGTGTATCCTTTTACTTCCTTCTCTTGCCTGACTGCTCTGGCTAAAATTTTGAGTACTACATTAACAGGAGTGCTAAGAGTGGATACCCTGGTCTTGTTCCTATTTTGTTCCCATTTAAGAGGAAATGCTTTCAGTTTTGCCCCAGTTAGTATGATGTTGCCACTGGGTTTGACATAAATGGTTTTCATCATTTATAATGTGAGATAAAGTCTTTCTATACTTAATTTCATCAGGGATCCATCCCCCCCCCCCATGAATAGAATTTGGATTTTGCCAATAGCTTTTTTTTGTATCTATTTA